ATATAAAGTATTTAAATATAAAGGGCCTTTTCTGGGGTAAACTAAACTACAATTCATATAATTTAGAAGAAACAAACTAGTGAGGAGCAGTGATGGTGAAAAGTCAGAGCAGAGATTTCTTTTCTCTGAGCGACGACGAGGTGGAACTGTTACTGACAGGAAGTGTTAGCGACGCTTTCCCTTCACCGCTGGTAGTCGAGTCATGTGACTGATGAGACCCAATCAGAAGAGAACGTGGGCGTCATGTTTTCTAAAGTCTCAGTTTCTGTCCCTCCAGAATAAAACACAAAACCAGAGTTTTCAAACTAAAACGAGACCTGCAGTAGTAACTCACACAGAGATCCATTGAGATGTAGCGCCTCCTTTAGGTTGGTGGTCGTCTCCTTCAGTTTCATGTCTCCACAGTGATCAGGCCGAGCTGCAACAGAATAAACAGAGTCAGAACTCACCAGGAGCTCAGAGACATTCAGTCCGTCCACTCGTGTCCTCTGAGCCGAGGACCAGCTCTGACTGCCGACACACACAGATTTGCATTTTGCCAGGGGAACAGGGAAAGTGTCTGAGGTGAGGAACATTTGTTTGGGAGGAAATGCAGCAGATGAAGAGAACAAGGTGACGAAAAACAATCCTAAATGAAACCTGCGAAAACAAACATTTGTGAAGTTCATGCAAAACAGGAAGTTAGAGCTGCGTTAGGAAGAATAAAAGGTAAAACCAGAACATGCAGGTAAACACCACGTGTTGTCATTCTGAACGTGTTGATTCTCCAGAGTCTGAAACCAGAGGAGGGAAAACTAATGAAACAGACTCTGTACCTCCATGACTGTTGTCAGAGTGTGTGACGCACTGACACACCTGCCAGGTGTGTGTGAGCACAGAGACGCAGCAGGCTGCTGCTCTCCTCACATACACCACTGACCGGGCCAGCCACATCTGCAGCACATCTGGAAGAACCAAACCACAGAGTCACGCTGAGTCCGCAGCTAAATCAGATTCAGAGCAAGAAGTGATTAACGTATACAGATTTAAACAAAACATGTCGACACGCAGCGTGGGAAAGGACGGCTCATCTCTAAAGTGAAGCCAAACCATCTTGATTCACCCCCTGGTGGCTTGCTGCGGTATAGGTCATTAACACCCGAGGCCGTCTACATCTTTGTGTCAAACATTGAGTGACATATTCCACCTGCTGCCTAAACTTGCTCGACTGTCGTGGAGCGGCGAGTCGTCAGTCACGTGATCTACCTGTCATGTGATGGCATCTCCGCAGCAACAGGCAACTGCAAATCAGAGTGAGCAGGGAGACGACACAGGCCGCCGCCCTCCTGCTCACATTTACACCTGCATCCAACATGGATGCCAAAACACCTGCTGGAAACAAATGTATGTTAACAACTGATCAGCTGATTGAGTCCAGTCCACCTGACACGTCTTCTCGTGTTTTCACCTGTGAGAGGTGGCGGCTGGTTCATGGTCATTTCTGAATGTTTCCATAGAAACATTCACACCAGGTAATTGAAACAGAAACTTTTACCACAGACGTTTTCCGACCCCATGAGAAGCATGTACGTCCTCTCTCACCTGTTCTCCTGCGACTTCGCTCTCGGTCGTAGACGATGGACGTTTCCAGTTCTCTCTCCCCCGACAGAGAGGAGTAGGAGCTGGTGTATTTGGAGGAGGAACTGCGTGTGGTGACGGACTCCTTCTTGTCCGGATGCAGCTCGCAGTCTTTGCAGTAAACCTTGCCGAGCGTCTGCACCGGGTGTTTGACACAGAGGCTGTCTGAGCCAATCAGAGTGCCGTTTGCCAGGATGGTACTCTGCTCCGCTATGATGGTGCTTTCTGTCACAATGAATCAGAATTATAAAAAATCGTCACTTTATATCATGTTTGTTTCATATCACTGGAAATTTGATTCAGTGAAACTGACCTTTAGGATCAACGTCATGGTCCAAACCTGAAACATCAGAGAAGGAACCAGCGTTAGTCAAAATCAAAAGATGTTTTTCCAGCCTCTGCTCGCAGAGGAAGAATCTGCGGTTTTACCCCAGAGGGTGTCGACCAGTGTGGCGTCGTGGATGGATGACTCGTCCAGCAGCGAGGAGAGCAGGGAGGTGTCTGATGTCACACTGTGGACACTGCTGCTGTGGAGCGAGCGGCCGGACGGTTTACGAGGAGATGGGACGAGGAGAGACTCCGAGCAGGAGAGAGAGTGATGCTGAGAACGACGAGACTTCAGGGACCTGACGGAGGACGGACAGAGAGAGAAAGAATGAGAACAACAGGGAAAAAAGGAGAAGAAAATTGACAATAAGGAGGAGAAGATAAGAGTATGATAGGAGGAGGAATAAGAGGTGTAGCAAAAACATCCAAACTCCCTGTCACTCTCACCTGCTGCTCCTCCAGCTGCCTCCTCCTGCGCTGTAGGAGGTGCTGCTGAGCGGCAGACTGTGGTCCAACAGGCCGTTATCGAGCCTCAGACTGAGTCTGGACATGGTCCTGGTCTGAAGGGAGGAGATGACCTGCGGCTCCGAGTCCGACGACAAGTAGCTGGGAGAGAAACTTCAATCTAAATCATTCAAACCCAATATGTACTAGGTCCTCGGATGATGTGTGAATTAATATGAATTGAGCTTTTAAAGAAAAGTAATTCATTGTCAAAACGTTCATCAGTTAAATTTGTTTGAAACTGAGCAGCTGTGATTTCAACGATGGGACGACTCCAACGAGAACACAGCTCTTCTCCTCCGTCGTTACACCACCATGATAAACGCAGAAGAAGAAGCATTGACAGGATACACACAGTCCTCTTTATATACAGTCGATGGTCCAGCCCCAACTCTGCACGTCCTCATGACAGCTCTCTCTCTCTC